GGATGTCTCTGCGTCCTTCCACTGCTCCGCTGCGTGCCCCTTTGCCCTCTCCTCCAGCGTCCTCTCTTCCTGAGCTTCCTGACCCGGAGTCGGACTCCCTTCGTGCTGCGCGTCCTACTGTCACGCGTCTCCTTGCTACTGTCGTCACTGACCCTTCCTTTGAGTCTACTGCTGCGTCTGCCCTAGTTGCTGAGCTTGTCGACTTCGCTGCTCGCTGTCGCCTAGACTACGCTACCAGTCTCGTCGCTGAGTCTGAGTCTGTCTGTCCTCCGTCCGTCGGGGGTGAGTGTGCTCTTGGCACGGACGTCCTAGAGGACAGGCAGGAGGAGTTCCAGTGCTTGGCTGCTGCTTCACCTCATCTCGTGTCCATGCTGCTTGCCCCTGAGGGAGACCCGGATGCACTTGACATCCCGACTCCGCGCTCTTACGCGGAGGCGATAGAGGGTCCCTACTCCTCTCAGTGGCAGGCAGCCATGGACGCAGAGATGGCTTCCTGGAAGTCCACAGGCACCTACGTTGACGAGGTTCCCCCGCCTGGGGCGAACATCGTCAGTGGCATGTGGATTTTCAGGGTGAAGCGGCTGCCAGGTTCTCCGCCTGTCTTCAAGGCGCGTTACGTGGCTCGTGGCTTCAGTCAGCGGCAGGGAGTTGACTACTTTCAGACCTTCTCCCCCACCCCGAAGATGACCACTCTTCGGGTACTGCTGCACATAGCTGCTCACCGAGACTACGAGCTGCACTCTCTTGACTTCAGCACTGCTTTCTTGCAGGGCAGCCTGCACGAGGAGATCTGGCTGCGCCGCCCACCTGGCTTCACTGGGACGTTTCCTCCTGGCACCCAGTGGAGCCTCCGGCGGCCAGTCTACGGTCTCCGCCAGGCGCCGCGTGAGTGGCACGACACACTGAGGACTACACTTGCGGCCCTTGGGTTTGCTCCTTCTACTGCCGACCCGTCGCTGTTTCTACGCACCGACACTTCTTTGCCGCCGTTCTACATCCTCGTGTACGTCGACGACTTGGTCTTTGCTACAGCTGACACTGCTGGACTTGCCTACGTGAAGTCCGAGCTGCAGAAGAGACACACGTGCACAGACCTGGGTGAACTGCGCAGCTACCTTGGCTTGCAGATCACCCGGGACAGAGCACAGCGCACCATTACCCTGACTCAGTCACACATGGTGCAGCAGGTCCTTCAGCGCTTCGGCTTCACGTACTCCTCGCCTCAGGCCACTCCTCTGCCTACACGCCACTCGCTCTCAGCTCTGCCTTCGGATGAGTCCGTAGAGTCGAGTGGCCCGTACCCAGAGCTTGTCGGCTGCCTCATGTACCTGATGACCTGCACTCGACCTGACCTTGCATACCCTCTTAGCATTCTGGCACGCTTTGTTGCTCCTGGGAGACACAGACCAGAGCACATGGCTGCAGCGAAGAGGGTGTTGCGCTACTTGTGCAGTACGTCGGGCATGGGGCTTGTGCTTGGAGGGCATAGTTCAGTGGTCCTCACTGGTCACGCAGACGCTTCTTGGGCTGACGACCAGGCTACGCAGCGGTCGTCACAGGGTTACACCTTCAGCCTTGGTTCCGGCTCTGTTTCTTGGCGGTCTACCCGCTCGTCTTCTGTTCTCGGCTCCAGTTGTGAGGCTGAGATCTACGCAGGGGCCATGGCTGCACAGGAGCTACGCTGGCTCACCTACCTGCTGACTGACCTGGGAGAGCCGCCTCGTTCTCCTCCAGTGCTGTACGTAGACAACAAGGCCATGCTGGCCTTGTGTCATGAGCACAGACTGGAGCACAGAACAAAGCACATCGCTCTCCGCTACTTTCTTGCTCGTGAGCTGCAGCAGCGTGGTCAGCTGCGCCTTGCTTACGTGGCCTCTGAGGCCAACACTGCTGATATCTTCACTAAGGCACTCGCGCCTTGTGATCATCAGCGCTTCTGCACTCTGTTAGGTCTTGTACCTACCTTGCCTCACTTGCTTACTTCTTGACCTTGCTTGTACTGTTACATATATATACCTGCCTGTTTAGCTTTATATATATGTGACCTTGCATGTGAACTGGCCTTGTGGCCTTGAACTTGTGCTCAGACTGTGTGGTGACGTTGTGATCCACCCTGAGCTTGCTTTGCCTTGCTTTGCTTGACTGGTCTTGTGACCCCTTGTTCTCCCCCACTTTGCCTATGGGGGTGTGTCAAACTTATACACTATAGTCTGTGTAGGCTGTAGTGGGGTAGCTCATATGGGGTACAACATTCTAGGGTTTGGTACTTGTACTCCTCATGCTGCTCAATGCATTCATTCTCGTTCCAATTGTCACACTACCCACTGGGATAAAAGGGCTTGTTGTCAAATGTTATTTTGTTGTTTGTATATAGTAGGCTGTAGTGGGGTAGCCACTAAGGAGTACAATCCCTTTAGAGTTTCATACTTGTATCATTGCTTGCCTTCGTTCAATCCATTCTAGTTGGTTATCTTAACATGGTATTAAGAGCCTTGGGTCCTTAGGACCTAAGCTTCTTCATAGGGCCCACCTGTTACCGCATTAGCCCACTGCCCTACCCCGAGTCGAGCTGCCCCTGTTAGCCGCGCGCCACTGCTGCAGTGCGAATTTTTTTTTAGCGCGCTGCGCCACCTACCCTGCCCGTGCGCATCCAGCCGCCGCGCCTTCCTGCCCTGCCCTTGCGCAGCCCGCTGCCACGCCACCTTGCCCTGCCCGTGCGCGGCTTGCGGCCGCGCCACCCTACCCTGCCCGTGCACAGCGCCGCCCGCCGCGCTCCCTGCCCTGCGTGTGCATGCCGTCCGCTTCCTCCCCTGCCGGCCGCCCCTCACCTAGTCAGCGCCGCCTTGCTGCCCTGCGCTACCAACGATGGCGACTTAAAATGTTCTCACTTTTGACGCAGATGGCCGCCCGATCGAATTTGAGACCTGGTTAGACGACCTTAGGCTCTACCTTCAAAGCGAGTCTAAGGATCGTGTGTCCCTGTTCGCTCATACGTCTGGTAGCGCTGCCGCCCCTGCAGACACTGCTGACGCTGACACTCGTGACCAGTGGCTTATTCGCGACGCTGCTGCTCGCCTAGCTGTGCGAAACCACCTACCACTAGCCGAGCGCGCGCACTTTAGCCAGCAGAAAACCGCCAAGGAACTGTTCGACGCAGTCGTAGCTCGCTACAGCTCGCCTGCCACTGCTGCGCTAGGCCGTCTTATCCTGCCCTACCTCTTTCCTGACCTGTCCGCCTTTCCTACAGTCGCTGATCTCATCACCCACCTCCGCACTAGCGACGCTAGGGTGCGTGCTGCGACCCCTGCCGACTTCCTCGCCAAGAACCCTCCCCCTATTCACTACACCCTCTACCTCCTAGTCACTCGCCTCCCTGACTCTCTTCGCGCTGTCAGGGACACCTTCCCCGCCATGGACCCCACTGAGCTCACTATAGACCTCCTCGAAAAGCACCTTACAGCGGCCGAGGTTAGCATTAACACTGTAGGCGCTTCTCGAGGCACTCCTCGCACCCCCTTCTTCGAGGGGTGTTCCCCCTCTCCCCTCCTCCCCTCTGTCGCCACTGCTGCTGCTGTCGACCTCCTTGGTGCTGAGGAGGTTGGGGTTGCGTCTGCTTCCAGTGGCAGGCGCCGCAGCGGCAAGGCGAAGGGTGGCAGGGGTGGTGGGGATGGTGGGGGTGGGGGCGGTGATGGAGGCTCGGGTGGTGGCGGCGGGGGTGGTGGGAGCGGCGGGGGTGGGGGTGGGGGTGTTGGGGTCGGTGGTGGCGGCGGCAGTGGGGGTGGCAGCGGCAGAGGTGGCGGTGGTGGGAGTGGCAGCGGAGTCGGTGGCGGTGGTCGCAGTGGTGCGGCCCAGCGCGGCGGCTCTGGAGGCAGCCAGGCACAGCAGCAGCAGCGCCAGCGCCTGCCCCGTACGCCGCAAAACCTTCGTGAGTGGTACGCGCAGCGTCAGTCGCCTGGGGGTGGTGGTACCTGCCCGTATGTCATTCGTACGAGTGAGTGTGCTGGTCAGACCTGCGGGAGGTTGCACACCCAGCACCGCTGCTTTTCCCGCCTTAGTGACGCCTGGCGTGCTCAGTTTCCTGACTGCTCTGAACTGCCCAACTGGGCTGATCTGCTTAGGAGAGGAGTAGAGATCTTTGATCTTGACTATGATGCTATCCTTGCTGCCATGTATGCATTGACTGTTAGTGCTGAGGGTGACTGTTACCTGTGTGTTCCGCCAGACCCTGGTATAGAGGCTGCTGCTCCAGGTGCTTGTGAGTCTGCTGCCCTTGGTGCTTGCGAGTCTGCTGCCCTAGGTGCTAGTGAGTCCGCCCTCTCAGGTATTGAGCCTACTGAGGCCTTGTACACTTTCACGCTAGACTCAGGTGCCTCCCGCTGCTTCTTCCGCGACAGCACCACAGTCACACCGCTCTCTGCACCGGTTCCCGTCTCCCTTGCTGACCCCTCTGGAGGACCTGTCCTTGCACGTTCCTCCACTGTCCTCCCCTGTCCGGCGGTCCCGTCTGGCTCACTTACAGGTCTCCACCTCCCCTCGTTCTCTACGAACCTGGTGAGTAACGCCGTCATCCAGGATGAGTGGGTTGACACCTTCACCCCTGGAGGACGTCGTGTGGCGATCTGCACGTGTGCCCGCACGGGCCGCCACCTGGCCACGTTCACCCGTCGGCCTGGGTCGAGTCTGTACACACTAACTGTCGGGTCTCCCCAGGTTGCTGCTACTGGTCAGGTGTCCTTGTCCGGACCGGAGTCTGCCCCTTGCTTGTGTCGTCACCAGTCACACCACACTCTCCTCTGGCACCACCGCCTTGGTCACCCCTCTCTGCCGCGCCTCCGCAGCATGCACTCCCGTCTGCTTGTCTCTGGTCTTCCCCAGTCCCTGTCGTCGCCGCCGCTCGCTCGCCTGCCCCGCCGTGTCTCCCTTGTGTCGAGGGGCGGCAGCGCGCCGCTCCTCACTCCTCCTCGTTTCCCCCGACAGACGCTCCCCTGCAGACTCTCCACATGGACATGTGGGGCCCAGCCCGCGTCCGAAGACAGGGCCGCGAACAGTACTTTCTGCTGGTTGTTGACGACTACTCGCGGTACACCACGGTCTTCCCCTTGCGCAGCAAGGGTGAAGTCCCTGCTGTCTTGATCCCTTGGATCCGCGCTGTTCGTCTCTAGCTCCGCGACCGTTTCCAGACAGACTTTCCCGTCCTACGTTTGCACTCTGACAGAGGTGGTGAGTTTTCCTCAGACCTCTTGCGGGACTTTTGTCACAGGGAGGGCATCCTCCAGTCGTTCACGCTTCCGGCCTCTCCGCAGCAGAATGGGGTTGCTGAGCGCCGCATTGGCCTAGTCATTCTCTCATCCTGTGCTCCGCTTCTCTCATCCTGTGCTCCGCTTCTCTCATCCTGTGCTCCGCTTCTCTCATCCTGTGCTCCGCTTCTCTCATCCTGTGCTCCGCTTCTCTCATCCTGTGCTCCGCTTCTCTCATCCTGTGCTCCGCTTCTCTCATCCTGTGCTCCGCTTCTCTCATCCTGTGCTCCGCTTCTCTCATCCTGTGCTCCGCTTCTCTCATCCTGTGCTCCGCTTCTCTCATCCTGTGCTCCGCTTCTCTCATCCTGTGCTCCGCTTCTCTCATCCTGTGCTCCGCTTCTCTCATCCTGTGCTCCGCTTCTCTCATCCTGTGCTCCGCTTCTCTCATCCTGTGCTCCGCTTCTCTCATCCTGTGCTCCGCTTCTCTCATCCTGTGCTCCGCTTCTCTCATCCTGTGCTCCGCTTCTCTCATCCTGTGCTCCGCTTCTCTCATCCTGTGCTCCGCTTCTCTCATCCTGTGCTCCGCTTCTCTCATCCTGTGCTCCGCTTCTCTCATCCTGTGCTCCGCTTCTCTCATCCTGTGCTCCGCTTCTCTCATCCTGTGCTCCGCTTCTCTCATCCTGTGCTCCGCTTCTCTCATCCTGTGCTCCGCTTCTCTCATCCTGTGCTCCGCTTCTCTCATCCTGTGCTCCGCTTCTCTCATCCTGTGCTCCGCTTCTCTCATCCTGTGCTCCGCTTCTCTCATCCTGTGCTCCGCTTCTCTCATCCTGTGCTCCGCTTCTCTCATCCTGTGCTCCGCTTCTCTCATCCTGTGCTCCGCTTCTCTCATCCTGTGCTCCGCTTCTCTCATCCTGTGCTCCGCTTCTCTCATCCTGTGCTCCGCTTCTCTCATCCTGTGCTCCGCTTCTCTCATCCTGTGCTCCGCTTCTCTCATCCTGTGCTCCGCTTCTCTCATCCTGTGCTCCGCTTCTCTCATCCTGTGCTCCGCTTCTCTCATCCTGTGCTCCGCTTCTCTCATCCTATGCTCCGCCTCTCCTCGCCTCCTCCTCCCCTTCCCCCCCTCCCCCCCCCCGCCAGGTCAAGCGCCGCGCATGTGGGCGCGCAGTGCTGTTGGAGGACGCCTTCGCCGCGCTGCTGGACGCCAGGCGCGCGGGGGAGGGCGGGGGGGAGGGGGGGAGGAGCAGGGGCAGGCAGGGCAGTGCGGATGCTGTGGGTGATGCTGTGAGGGGCGGGGAGGGTGGGGCAGCAGAGCAGCGAGGCGAGAGGGGAGGCGGCGAGGACGATGACTGGTCAAGCATTTCAGGGTCGGAGGACGAGGGGGGGGGAGACGACGCGGACGACGGGTGGCCGCAGCAGCAGCAGCAGCATGCGGGGGGGGAGGGCAGGGTGGCAGTGGCAGGGCGGGGGGCGAAGGTGCACTTCGTGCTGCCCCACACGGGCGTCACTTTCGCCCTCTGGCGCGTGCTCTTCCCCCCAGGTGCGCTCTTCCCCCCAGGTGCGCTCTTCCCCCTAGGTGCGCTCTTCCCCCCAGGTGCGCTCTTCCCCCCAGGTGCGCTCTTCCCCCCAGTTGCCCACCTCCCCACTGTGCGCGCTTCCCACCTCCACTGTTCTCTGCTGTTCCCATCTTCCCCCTTCCTCCCCCTCCTCTCCCCCCTCCCCCTCCTCTCCCTCCTCCCCCTCCTCTCCCTCCTCCCCCTCCTCTCCCTCCTCCCCCTCCTTCCCCTCCTCTCCCTCCTCCCCCTCCTCCCCCTCCTCTCCCTCCTCCCTGTCCTCCCCGTCCTCCCCGTCCTCCCCGTCCTCCCCGTCCTCCCCGTCCTCCCCGTCCTCCCCATCCTCCCCGTCCTCCCCGTCCTCCCCGTCCTCCCCGTCCTCCCCGTCCTCCCTGTCCTCCCCGTCCTCCCCTGCCCCGCTGCATGCCTGGGCCGCCCTGTCCCACCAGAGCAGGGTGCGGATCTGCTGCAGGCGCTGGTGGCGCTGGGGGATGGCGCAGGGGGGGCGCACGGGGGAGCATTCAGAGGAGGGGGGGAGGGGAGTGCGGAGGCTGGAGGAACGGATGCGGGAAGGAGCGCGGGTGAGGGAAGGAGCGCGGGTGAGGGAAGGAGCGCGGGTGAGGGAAGGAGCGCGGGTGAGGGAAGGAGCGCGGGTGAGGGAAGGAGCGCGGGTGAGGGAAGGAGCGCGGGTGAGGGAAGGAGCGCGGGTGAGGGAAGGAGCGCGGGTGAGGGAAGGAGCGCGGGTGAGGGAAGGAGCGCGGGTGAGGGAAGGAGCGCGGGTGAGGGAAGGAGCGCGGGTGAGGGAAGGAGCGCGGGTGAGGGAAGGAGCGCGGGTGAGGGAAGGAGCGCGGGTGAGGGAAGGAGCGCGGGTGAGGGAAGGAGCGCGGGTGAGGGAAGGAGCGCGGGTGAGGGAAGGAGCGCGGGTGAGGGAAGGAGCGCGGGTGAGGGAAGGAGCGCGGGTGAGGGAAGGAGCGCGGGTGAGGGAAGGAGCGCGGGTGAGGGAAGGAGCGCGGGTGAGGGAAGGAGCGCGGGTGAGGGAAGGAGCGCGGGTGAGGGAAGGAGCGCGGGTGAGGGAAGGAGCGCGGGTGAGGGAAGGAGCGCGGGTGAGGGAAGGAGCGCGGGTGAGGGAAGGAGCGCGGGTGAGGGAAGGAGCGCGGGTGAGGGAAGGAGCGCGGGTGAGGGAAGGAGCGCGGGTGAGGGAAGGAGCGCGGGTGAGGGAAGGAGCGCGGGTGAGGGAAGGAGCGCGGGTGAGGGAAGGAGCGCGGGTGAGGGAAGGAGCGCGGGTGAGGGAAGGAGCGCGGGTGAGGGAAGGAGCGCGGGTGAGGGAAGGAGCGCGGGTGAGGGAAGGAGCGCGGGTGAGGGAAGGAGCGCGGGTGAGGGAAGGAGCGCGGGTGAGGGAAGGAGCGCGGGTGAGGGAAGGAGCGCGGGTGAGGGAAGGAGCGCGGGTGAGGGAAGGAGCGCGGGTGAGGGAAGGAGCGCGGGTGAGGGAAGGAGCGCGGGTGAGGGAAGGAGCGCGGGTGAGGGAAGGAGCGCGGGTGAGGGAAGGAGCGCGGGTGAGGGAAGGAGCGCGGGTGAGGGAAGGAGCGCGGGTGAGGGAAGGAGCGCGGGTGAGGGAAGGAGCGCGGGTGAGGGAAGGAGCGCGGGTGAGGGAAGGAGCGCGGGTGAGGGAAGGAGCGCGGGTGAGGGAAGGAGCGCGGGTGAGGGAAGGAGCGCGGGTGAGGGAAGGAGCGCGGGTGAGGGAAGGAGCGCGGGTGAGGGAAGGAGCGCGGGTGAGGGAAGGAGCGCGGGTGAGGGAAGGAGCGCGGGTGAGGGAAGGAGCGCGGGTGAGGGAAGGAGCGCGGGTGAGGGAAGGAGCGCGGGTGAGGGAAGGAGCGCGGGTGAGGGAAGGAGCGCGGGTGAGGGAAGGAGCGCGGGTGAGGGAAGGAGCGCGGGTGAGGGAAGGAGCGCGGGTGAGGGAAGGAGCGCGGGTGAGGGAAGGAGCGCGGGTGAGGGAAGGAGCGCGGGTGAGGGAAGGAGCGCGGGTGAGGGAAGGAGCGCGGGTGAGGGAAGGAGCGCGGGTGAGGGAAGGAGCGCGGGTGAGGGAAGGAGCGCGGGTGAGGGAAGGAGCGCGGGTGAGGGAAGGAGCGCGGGTGAGGGAAGGAGCGCAGGTGAGGGAAGGAGCGCAGGTGAGAGGGGCAGGGGGGGCAGGGCGGGCGGTGGGCACAGGTGCAGGCGGGGAGGGGAGGTGCGCTGGTGGGGAAGGCGGTGGGCCAGGAGGGAGGCGGCAAGGGGCAAGGGGGGGAGCGCGTGTGGGTGGTGGTGCTGAGCTCAGGCGGCCACTTTGCTGCCGTGGTGCTGGACGCTGCCTCTCACGGTGCTGTGCTCGCCCACCGCTCCTTCCACCGGTGCGACGGGAGGGCGGAGGGGGGTGGAGTAGTGGGGGGAGAAGGAGAGGTGGGGGGTTGTGAGGGAAGTGTGTGTGGCAGAGCTGCATGGATGGGGGGCGGGATTGTATATAGCACAGCGGAAGCACAAGGGAAGGAGGTGTAAGAGAGGAAGGAGGTGTAAGAGAGGAAGGAGGTGTAAGAGAGGAAGGAGGTGTAAGAGAGGAAGGAGGTGTAAGAGAGGAAGGAGGTGTAAGAGAGGAAGGAGGTGTAAGAGAGGAAGGAGGTGTAAGAGAGGAAGGAGGGGCCGTGTGCAGTGGGAGTGGTGACGAGGCGGCCATGGCTGCACAAGACCCCTGCCCATGTCCGCTCCTTTGCCCTGTGCACCGCTGCGTTCCCCTGCCCGCCCGTCCCCCCATCAGGTATGTGGTGCGGGCCAAGGCGGGCGGGCGGCAGGCAACGAGGGACGGAGCGGGCAGAGCGCCGCAGTCAGCGGGGGCGAGCCTGAGACGCTACAACGAGGCGGCTCTTGTGAAGGTGGGATGGCGTGGGGGGGGCATGCAATGAAGAGTTGATGGCTGTTGCCTTGCCTTGGCTGCTCATGGGGCTGCTGGACCTCACCGCGTCAACCACCCACCCACCATCACGTCTCTCGCCGCCTTGCGTTCGTTCGTGCTTTCGTTGCGTCCATGCCTTCAACTAACACCTTCCTTCCCCCCATTCCTCTTCCCCCTGCTCCCTCGCGCCCTCAGGACATCCGCACCCTGCTGCAGCAGTGGCAGCCCTACCTGGCGCGCGCACAGTTCATCTTCGTGCACGCCACCGCTCCCAACCGTGCTGCACTCTTTGGCACCGCGGCAGAGGCGCATGCTAGCCGGGGCACAGCAGGGGCGGGGGCAGCGCTGCTGGCGGCGCGCGACCCGCGCGTGCGGCGGGTGCCGTTCCCCGTGCGGCGCCCCACGGTGAAGGAGGCGCTGCGCGTGGCGCACTCGCTGGCTCACGTGCACGTGCTGGGGTGGGCGGGCAGGGCCGAGCGTGGCGACCACGGGGAGGTGGGGGTGAGTTGCGGGGAGGAGGTCGCGCTGGCTGTGGCTGTGGCTGCGGCTGGCAAAGGGGTGGCGGCAGTGAGTGCGAGGGACGAGGGGGCAGAGCACAGCAAGGGAGAGGGTGGGGCGCAGGGGGGAGAGAGGGAGGTGGAGGGGTGGTTTCAGAGCAGTGGGAGACGAGGTGATGCGAATGTGGAGGTGAAGGGAGATGGGCGAGGGGAGGAGCGAGGAGAGGAGAGTGGGGCCAGTGGAGGGGAGGTGGAGGGGAAGGAGGCAGCGGGGCAAGGATGGGGGCGACCAGCACTCCATGTGGCAGCTGCTGCAGGTGCGTGGGTGCGTGGGTGGGTGGGAAGGTGGGAATAGAGGGTGTGTGGTGTTAGAATTCCTTCTCTCTTGTAACCTGCATATATGCTAGGCTAGAGATAAGCACACAAACTTAGTTTGGGTGTACAACCAGGGGTAACCCGGTTGTAAGGTTGGAACCCAACCTTGGTCCAATTATTGGACCCCAAAAGGTTGGGTTGGGTAGAATTATTGGCTCCCCCCAATAATGTTGGCTCAACCCCAACTTGGCCAACATTATTGGACCCCACCAATAATCACCCAACCCAACTTATTGGTTGGGGTCCAATAATGCCAACCTAGGTTAGCATCCAACCCCCCTTCTTGCCTTTACCGATGTATACCCTCACTTTTCTTAATTCAATTATCACTTTCATTTCTAAACCAATTTCCTTCATGGTATAGAGCTACTACTCCTAGGCCTACTCCCCTTCCATTTTCTCAAGGGCCCACCTGGCCGCCGCAACCCCCGGCCTTCTTCCTTCACGTTTTCTTTTCCCGACCATCCCGCCGCTCCCCCCTTCTAGCTCCGCATCAGCAGCCGCGGTCTCACCAACCGCCACCAATCCCGCCCGTCCCTTCCGCGGCCTCGACGCCGCTCCTGCGCCGCGCGCCCCCGCCGCCTCGCGCCAGTCCGTGGCCTCGACACCACCTTCGTGCTCACGCTGCCGCGGCCACGCCAGCCGCCGTCGCCCGCGCCGCTCTCGTCCACGGCCTCGGCGTCGCCTCCGCGCTCACGCCGCCGCGGCTCCGCCTGCCGCCGCCGACCGCGCCGTTCCCTTTTCGCGGCCTCGACGCCGCTTCCGCGTTGGCACCGCCGCGGCCTCACCAACCGCCGCCGCCCGCGCCGTTCCCTCCCGCGGCCTCGACGCCGCTTTCGCGCCAGCGCCGCCGCGGCCTCGCCAGCCGCCGCCGCCCGCGCCGTTCCCTCCTGCGGCTTCGACGCCGCTTCCGCGCCAGCGCCGCCACGGCCTCTCCAGCCGCTGCCGCCCGCACCGTTCCCTCCCGCGGCCTTAACGCCGCTTCCGCGCCAGCTCCGCCGCGGCCTCGCCAGCCGCCGCCGCCCGCGCTCCTCCCCTCCGCGGCCTCGACGCCGCGTCCGCGTCGGCACCGCCGCGGCCTCACCAGCCGCCGCCGCGCGTGCCGTTCCCTCCCGCGGCCTCGACGCCGCTTCCGCGCCAGCACCGCCGCGGACTCGCCAAGCCGCCGCCGCCCGTCCCTCCCTTCCCGTCCGCGGCCTCGAAGCCGCTTGCGTGTCCACGCCGCCGCGGCCTCGCCAGCCGCCGCCCACACCTTTCCCCTCCACGGCCTCCTTGCCGCCTTCGTACCAGCGTACCGCGGCCTTACCACACCACCACCGCCCACATCCCTCATGGCTAACCCTGTCACCTCCTCCGCTCCTCTCCCCCCCCCCCCCCCCCATTGATACCTCCTCCATCGATACGTTGCAGCTCGCCGCCGACAAATCCGCCATCAATTGGCATTCTTTCGTCGGCAGCGTGCGTCGTGTCCTTAAAGACGCATGGTTCCTCCCTACTGCGTCCTTGATGTCCTCCTCCGCCGCCCCCATGCCCTCCCCCCCACAGAACCTGACCACCCCGGCGACACCCCTCCTCTCCCTCCCCCTCCTGGCTCTCCTCCTCCTGAATCCGAACTCCAAATCCCCACGGATCCCACTCACCAAGCAACTGCAGAAGCAGACTTCGTTCTTCGTCGCCGTGAATACCTCATTCGAAAAGCTGACTACGACGCCGCAGCTGACAACTACGCCCAGGCAGTTGCCGTCGCAACGCTCACCTAGCCGTTGTCGCCAAATACAATGAAGATATGGCGTCCTACACTCCAAAACTCATCGCCTGGTCCGCTGCTGACAACCGCGCTTGCACCGTCCTCCTTGGTGCCCTTCCTGACTCCCTTATGCGCCGCTTTCAGGCTCGGGAACTCCGTGCCTCGGTCATTTGGACGGAACTTCACTCGATGTTTGAACGTCGTGACATCAGCTCGGTTGGCATCCTCTTCCAAGAATACTTCTCCATCACCCTCGCTACCTGTGACAGTGCAGTTGACTATGTCGGACGCATGCGAGAAGTAGCTGATCGCCTCGAAGCCCGCCAAGCAGGCCTCTCCGAACCACTACAGATCCATCGCCTACTCTTCAACCTCACTCCAGACTATGAATCCCGCCTTCACGCCTTTACCGAAGCCAACCCCATGGCCGATCTTGCCTCTGTTGAGCAGTGGATCATCGATACCGAAGTCAAGCTTCGTACTCCTGTCGTCAACCTCGCCTCCTCCCAACCCTCCTCCTCCTCACTCAACAATGCCACACAGCCACGCAAGCAAGGCAAAGGCAACGGCAAAGGGGGAGGTGGGGGCAAGGGAGGCAGCGGTCAGGGAAGCAGCAGCGGAAGCAGCCGTGGAGGCCCAGGCGGGGACGAGCATAGCACCACCAAAACCCGCCCTGGTACTCTCCCCCCCTGCACCTATGTCCGTCGCTACGGTCCCTGAGCAGGAACACCCTGCGGCCAAACCAATCACCCCCTTGGTACCTGCTTTAAGGCCCTCGACGATGTCTGGTTCGCACGCGGTAACATTGGCACCCCTCCCCGCTGGGGTACCATCAACCCACGTCCCTCCCTTGCTGACATCCAAACCAACCCTGCCCACCTGCCTGCCCACCTCCGCCTCCTTGCTCCCCCCACACCCTTCCTCAATCTTCAGCAGCAGCATATCCAGCAGCAGCAGCAGCAGCAGCAGCAGCAGCAGCAGCAGCAGCAGCAGCAGCAGCAGCAGCAGCAGCAGCAGCAGCAGCAGCAGCAGCAGCAGCAGCAACAGCAAGCAGCCGCCGCTGCAGCATCACCCGTGGGGACCTGGTCCCCAGCCACAATGGGGACCCCCCACCGCACCCTGGCAGCAGCAGCAGCTGAACTTTGGTACGGCAGCCATAGCCGCTCAGACCTCCCCTGCTCTCCTTTGGGGTGCTCCCCCCCCCCCCCCCCCCCCCCCCCCCCCAGTAGCATTGCTACCCCCCACCCAGGATAGCTTCCTCGGTAATATTGTTGTTTCCCCTTCTCTTCCCTCCATGTACCCATCCACCATTAATGAGACCACCTTCCAGTACTCAGTCTCTCCCTCCTCCTCCTCACCCACCCTGGACTTTGTCCTTGACAGTGGGGCCACTGAGACTGCTCTCAAGGATGTCGGCACACTCACACTCCTCCCTCTTCCTTCCCAGGTTCACGGTGCCGATAACAGCTTTACCATCCCCTGCACACACCTCTCCACCCTCCCCTGCACAATCTTTCCCTCTGGTAAGGTCACTGGCCTCCACATCCCCACCCTCCGGAATAACCTCCTCTCCCATCGAGAGCTCCAAGGTGCAGGTATCACTGCTGTTTATCCCGGTTATGCCACCTACTGTGACCTCTATCATACTGCCACTGGTCGCTTCCTTCATCGCATTCCCCTATGCCCCTGCACCCGCCTCTACACCCTCCGCACCCCTTGGCCTTCCTTCTGCCATGTCACCACTCGCGCTGGCACCACCACTAATCCTCCCCACCTCCCTTCACCAACTCCCACTCCGCCACCTCCCCCCTCCTCCATCCCACCCTCACTCACTCCAACTCCCTCCACCTCCGAAGATCTCTCCCACCCCGCTGCTCTCTTACACCACAGACTCGGCCATCCCAATTTTGCCGGTCTCTGCGCTGCCATCACCTCTCGGCTCCTTAACAGCCTCCCTCCCACCCTCCCTCCCCTCCCTTCCTCTCCGGCCCCCCCATGCCCCTCCTGTATCCACGGCAAACTCAAATAGTCTCCCCACCACAGCCACCCATCCTTTGCCCCTGCTCCACTGGACATTGTCCACATGGACCTATGGGGTCCTTCCCCCACCCGCTCACGCCAGGGCCATCGCTACATGCTGGTCCTGGTTGACGACCACAGCCGCTACTCCTCCATTTTCCTCCTCCACACCAAAGACCAGGCACCGACAGTGATCATCAATTGGGCCGAGCAATGCCGTGCCCACTTCGAACGTCCCATCGGCTGCCTTCACTCTGACGGTGGAGGCGAATTCCTTAATCGCACTCTCTCCACCTACTGTGCCACACACGGCATTCAACAGACCCACACCCTCCCCCACTCCTCGCAGCAGAATGGTGTCGCCGAGAGCCGCATTCGCGAGATCACCAAAATCGCTCGCTGTCTCCTCGCTCACGCCTCCACCCCTCCTTCCCTATGGGGCTACGCCCTCCTCCACGCTGCCCTCCTCCTCAACCTTCACTCCCACCCTCAACATCCCGCCTCCACCCTCACGGAACTCTGGTCAAGCACCAAACCTGATGCTGTAGGTCTCCGTGTGTGGGCCTGCAAAGTATACGTCCTCATTCCTCCTCCTGAACGCACCCACGGCAAGCTCGCCTCTCGCGCTCTGGAATGCGTCTACCTTGGACACAACCGCGACTCACCTGGCTATCTCTTCCTCCACCCTCTTTCTGGACGCCTCATCTGTAGCATTGACGTCGTTTGACGAAACCGCTCCTTACTACTCCACTCCTCATCCTGACCCCCTCCCTCCCCCTGCTCGTCCCCTCGCCTGGACCGACACCGTCCTTCCTCCCCTGCACCCCTTCTGCCACCACTCCCTGCTCCAATCCCTCCACCTTCATCTGCTGACATCTACGATCCCCCTGCACCTGCATCCCCGGCCCACTCCACTGCCCCTCCTCCCCCTTCCCCCTCCTCCCCTCCATCCCCTCCGCCTCCCCAGCAGCCGCAGCAGCAGCAGCAGCAGCAGTAGCAGCAGCAGCCGCAGCAGCAGCAGCTGCAGCAGCAGCAGCAGCAGCCGCAGCAGCAGCAGCAGCCGCAGCAACAGCAGCAGGCCGTAGGGGCAGCAGCAACTGCAGCAGAGGCAGCAGCAGGGACACCCGCAGGCGGAACAGCAGGGGCAGCAGCCATGGGAGGAGCAGCAACCACAGCAACAGCAGGGGCTCCAGCAGCACCAGCAGCAACAGCGGCAGAGGGCAACTGCCCGCTCCTCACCTTTCCTCCTCCCCCGGATGCATACCCGCTCCCATGATCGCCTTGCGCACTCTGCTCTCCGTCTCATCGGCCTGGCTCCCCCCAACGCGCCTTGATTCAGGGGTTGCTTCCCTCAAGCCTTTCCGCATCTATGCAGGTTAAGGGGTTGTGTTAGAGTTCCTTCTCTCTTGTAACCTGCATATATGCTAGGCTAGAGATAAGCACACAAACTTAGTTTGGGTGTACAACCAGGGGTAACCCGGTTGTAAGGTTAGAACCCAACCTTGGTCCAATTATTGGACCCCAAAAGGTTGGGTTGGGTAGAATTATTGGCTCCCCCCAATAATGTTGGGTCAACCCCAACTTGGCCAACATTATTGGACCCCACCAATAAT